AACAAGACTACGCACTCAAGCCCTGCTTGATCTCCGACCCGGCAATGGAGAGAACGCCATTGCGGCTGCTGCGAGTGCGGAGTCTGCTTATGCAGTGGGGAACCGCAGTTTCAGCGGCGTATTCCCACCTCGGAGCTCCATTGCCATCACTGTCGAGAGAAGGGCCACCTTCAGAAGTATTGTCGCCGCCGCAATTTTTGCGTCTATTGTAAGAAAGGACGTCATATCATATTGGATTGTCGTCTCTCTGTGAAACATCATGGTAAGCCACCTGAAGCTCCCGACAATGAACGTGCTGCTCTTGACCGTGCTGTATATGCCACACCTATTGTTGAAGGACGAGGCGCTGGGGTCTCCGCTGCGGAGATTGAGAGGCTTGTGAATGCTGCATTGCAAAAGTCTCTACCCACCGCCATTAGCTCTGCATTTGCTACTCTCCAGGTGACAGGTAAAAGTTTGCATCCCTGGCTTCTCGAATTCCGCGTGTTTCAATCATATGACTAATGATTCCGCTAGTATTGCAAATATTAAACATGTTCAACATATGGCGATGCGAGTGGCTAATGGTGATAGGCTCGAGGTTAAGGGTGTGGGTCATGTTCGACAATCTTGTTTAGACTTACCCGACACCTTACATGTTCCCCATCTTGTTTCTAACTTGGTTTCAGTTGGCCAACTCACTGATAATGGTTATTTAGTTACGTTTGCACCCTCTGGATGTGTTGTGCAGGATCTGAAGACGGGGAGGCAGATCGGAAGGGGGAGTAAGAAGGGACGGCCGTTTCATTTGGAGGAACTTGCCCGCACATCATCATCATCCCTACCCAATTCCGTAACTCGTAGCTCCGTCAGTAGTCCATCTGTTTTATCCTCTCTTCTGTGTCCTTCTTCTTCTAGTGAGTCGAACAGTGTATGGGATTCATGGCATTCGCGTCTTGGGAATCCTAATTCTGGTCGTCTTTTGAAAATGTTTCGTCAATCATTGTTGGGAAAACATAGTCTTGGAGATTTGTCAAAACATAATTGCACTAGTTGCATTGAAGCAAAAACCGTTAGTATTTCTCTCCCATCTAGTACGACGGTGATTACTGGTCCTTTTAATATTGTGCACACGGATCTTTGGGGTCCTTCTCCTGCTCTATCTCGCCATAGTTTTTGATACTTTGCTTTGTTCGTCGACCATGCCACCCGGTTCACATGGGTATATTTTTTGAGACTCAAATCCGACCTCCGTGCCATTGCTGAGGAATTTTTGAAATGGTGCATACCCAATTTAGTTGACCAGTTAAAATCATTAGGTCCGATTCGGGTGGGGAATTCAATTATGGTCCTTTGCTAGCCCTGTATCGGTCTCTAGGTACTCTCTGCCAAAAGTCGTGTCCCGGTATATCTCAACAGAATGGTTTAGTGGAACGAAAAAATCGACATGTCCTTGACATGACTCGTGCCCTTCTTTTGGAGTCACATGTTCCCTCTAGGTTTTGGCCCGAAGCCGTTTCCACTGCTGTCCGCATCATTAATTACCAACTCACTCATGTTCTTAATAAGGGATACATCTGCTATGATCCGACTCTTCGTCGGGTCCGGATAACTCCGACGGTGGTATTTTATGAGAACTTCAAGTTATATGCTTTAGATAGTTCTGATCCGCCATTCCTTCCCTTGTCACCCTTCTTGCCTTCTTTTGATGATGATGATGTTGATATTGGTGATTTAATGCTGCCCCCTGATGATCTGCCTTCTCCGCCTCCCCACATGCCCCCTACTCTTGATCCGTCTATAGCCAGCACCTCTTCGTCAGCTTCATCTTCGTCCTCCGTGCCTTCCACGACCAGCTCCTCTTCTTCATCACCAGGTGCGCATAGCTCCAGTCCGCCCGGATCTCTACATTCCTCGCCGCTCCCCGATGCTCTTGTGGCTCTTCGCCGTTCGCTCCGCACCACTAAAGGTCAGCCCCCGCCTCGGTTTGACGATTTTGTTTCTTTTGGGGTTGATGCTTTTGTGGTGCCGACCCGTTATAAGCAGGCTAAGGGCGACCCGCTATGGGATAACGCGATGCAGATCGAGATCGATGTGGTTCATGCCAACAACACATGGTCCGTTGTTGATCGTTCTCCACCTGACATCCCGGTGATTGGTTCTCGATGGTTAGTATTAAGGTGACTCCAGAGGGAGCTATTGAGCGTCACAAGGCACGGATTGTGGCGCAAGGATATACACAGGAGTGTTGATTTTGATGAGAAATTTGCCCCAGTTGCTAAGATGGCTATGGTTCGTACACTTCTGGCAGTAGCATCTCTGTGGGACTGGCGTTTATATCAGCTTGACCTGAAGAACGCGATTCTCCATGGAGTCTTGAAGGAGGTCATGTATCTGGAGAAGCCACCGGGATATGATGTGGGATCACCTGACCAAGTTTGCCTCCTTCATAAGTCGTTATATGGTCTCAAACAGGCTCCGAGAGCATGGTTTGAGAAGTTTAAGTCTACCATTCTTGAGCTTGGGATGCGTTAGAGCCTAAGTGATCCCTCCCTATTTGTTAAATCTTCTGAGGCTGGACTGGTGATTCTCTTGTTGTATGTTGATGATATGGTGGTCACGGGCGATGATGCTCACGGCATTGCCTAGCTGAAGCAGGGCCTTCATGATGCGTTCCATTTGAAGGACTTGGGGGAGCTCTCATACTTCCTGGGTCTCGAGATTAGCCGCGATCGTAAGGGCATTCTTATAAGTCAGCGGAAATATATAGGTGATCTATTAAGCGATCACAAATTTTAGGATTGTCAGCCAGTCAATACACCTATGGAGCTCAACTTGAAGTTGAGTCGCGAGTCTGGCGAGTTACTTTATGATGGGTTAGAATATCGGAGTCTTGTGGGTAGTCTTATCTACTTAGCTGCCACGCAACCAAACATCTCTTTTGCAGTTTAGTTGATTAGTCAGTTTGTGCCTTCTCCCCGCTGTTATCATCTCACGGGATTTTACGGTACCTTAAGGGTACTCATGATGTGGGTATGTTTTTTCCCTCTACTGGTTCACTTGGCCTATGTGTGTATTCAGATTATGACTTTGCAGGTTGCATTGACACTCGCCGATCGACTACGGGCTGGTGCGTTCAATTTGCTGGGTCGTTCATCTCTTGGCGTTGTAAGAAGCAAGACAAGGTCTCTAAGTCTTCTCCCGAGGCAAAGTATCGGGCGACGTCTGATGTCTATTCTGAGCTAGTGTGGCTTCGTCGACTGCTTGCGATCTGGGGGTTACCTGTTCCTTACCCCTCGAGCTATTTGTGGATAACACCAGTGCCTTCTAGATCGCGATTAATCCAGTTTTACATGAACGTACGAAGCACATTGAGCTTCATGTTCATTATGTTCATGACCTGGTCCGCGATGGGACTGTACGACTTCATTACATATGCACCGACGACCAGGTTGCCGACATCTTCACTAAGCCGTTTACTAGCCGCCGACATTGGTACCTCTCGAGCAAATTGATGCTTCGTTCCCGGCATCAATTTGGGGGAGGCTGTTAGCGGATTGGTTAGGAGTTTATTGGGCCAAAGTTTACTTAATGATGATTGGCCCAAATCCATGCACCCATGCACTAGTAGTCGTGTAGCTGCTAGGGTTTGCATTGGGGATATATATACGTCTTTTACTTCACTGTGAACGTTGAGCAACTTAGTATGATTTTCAGCTTAGAGAGCTTGCCTCTCCCGTGGATTAATCCTAGCATTCCGAGGATACCACGTTAAATCTGTGTGTCGTTTTCTGCTTCCATCAAGAACGAATTCCTCTTCCAGTACTTCCTCATACCATCCTTTACTCTTCTCTTCCAGTGGCTTAATCAAATCTGGGAAACGATCCGATGCTTGGTTCCCTTCATCGCAACCTCTCCTGCGGCCACAACACCCACCAAACCTCTCTCCCCAGTTCATACGCCAAGCCCCAAATCCTCGTTAGATCCCTTTGAATCTCGCCCCTGCATTTTCGGCGACGAGGACAACGAGATCGGGGATTCGTCAAGGATGAGCGGCGAGAAGAAGGTCGGAATCACAGTCGGGTTGGTGGAGGCACTGTGCGTCGTCGGATTTGGCGGGATGGTGTCCAACCAGTCAACTTTGCCGAATCGATCTTCCCTCGTGGCGTTGCTCGCCATCGTCTCCCACTGCCGGCCACCATCGATCCACCCCTCTGCGTCGCACCAGTCCCACCAGCTAGCAGATGAGGCGAATGATGATGACGTTGAGGACATCGATGAACAAAAGTTTCGCGACCCCGCGGATGAGGCTCAGCCCGTCGAGGCGGAGCTAGGATCTGGCAATTGTGCATCAGATCTGAAAAATAGGAAATATTTAAAAAAAGTAAAACAATACTGTATTTCTAGTAAAATTAGTTTTTGGAGTTTATTTTTATTTTTTAAAATACGACGTGGCATCCACGTGGCGGCATTACGAGTCCAGTTGGAGATGATGTGTCTTCTAGGTAGCATCCACATCAGTTTAACATCCACTTAACTGACAGAGTTGCTGACAATTTAAACTTTGTAACGGAAATGGCAAAATTTGTCAAGCAAGTTTCACAAAGTGACTATATTTGTGTATATTTCAAAATTTGACTATTATTGTCACAAGGTGTAAAGTTATGGTTATGAAAGTGTATTTTGCCGATTAGTTTAGAAAAGTCGACGTGAGTGATCCATTACCATTAGGTTGCTCCCTTACAGTAAGATACATGTTGATAGTCGGTCTTATCCAGGGAAAGAAAATATTATCTTCTTCATTTTATACCACCTCTAATTATTTGCACAGGCAAATAGCAAAGCATGGAAACGAAAATCCATTCTGAAAGTGGTAACTGTCCTAATTTGTACGCCATCGGAAAAGGAAAATCCATACTGCTAGGCCCACTACGCTAGCCGCCAGCCAGGCCAACTACTCAATGAACCTGGACGCAGAAATGGACAATATATATTTTGAAGATGCGGATCCGAGTCGGACCATGATCCCGACTTTCTTCCGCATAATAAAAAGCAAAAACCGTCTTGGTTTCGGCAACTCCAAAAAAAACCAGATCGTCCTCCTTTTCCCTCTCTGTCCCACTACCACTACGCTTTACTTTGCAACCATGGGAGAGGCTGGTCATGATTACGAAGTTGCCGGCGGCGGGGAGGCGGGGAAGACGGTCAGGTACGGCGTCGTAGGAGTCGGGATGATGGGGAGAGAGCATTTGATCAACCTCCACCACCTGATCAGCGACGGGAAGCAAAACGTCGCCGTTGCTTGCATCGCCGACCCTCACGTGCCTTCCCAGCAGCAGGCCGTGGAGTTGGCCCGATCCTTCGGCTGGACCGGCCTCCAGGTTTGGTTATTTATTTTTATTATTTATTTTCCGTCGTCTTATGGATTCATATATGATGGATGTGTTTGTCTGACTGTTGCCGTTGCCGGCGCCGGCGGCAGGTGTTCGCGGGCCACAAGGAGTTGCTGGACAGCGGGTTATGCGACGTGGTGGTTGTTTCAAGCCCAAACATGACCCACTTCCAGATTCTGATGGATATTATCCATCACCCCAAGGCCCACCACGTACTTGTCGAAAAGCCCCTATGCACCACCGTTGACCAGTGCAAAAAGGTGAAGCATATATGTGATTGTGGATCCTTCCTCTCAGTGTCCTAAGATTTGGTTTGTGAGTTTCATGTCCGAATCAGTTCACAAAAGAGAACTATCAAAATGAAAAGAAGATATGAAGTTAAAAAGAATCATAAAGGAGGGGGGAAATTATAGACATAGCCTAACATTTTATGATACAGAATGTATGTGAATTCCTTTGGTACTTTATATTTGGAATGATAGAATTTTGAGAAAATCTATGTATTTTCGATAATTAACATGTACTTGTTCTAATGCGATTTTACATTTTATCATGAGTTTCGTAGGAAGAATGTGTGAATTTAATAAAATAGAATATTGATAAGTATGATTGTGAGTGGCTAAACGAACAATTTCAAATACATCATCCTATTTGGCGTGGATTTGTTTAGTCATAATATTGTAGAATATTGTCCAGTTCAAAAGTGAATTGGATGATATTCTTTTTCTCAATGTGGCAAAATCAACTATTTACTAATTCAAGGTATGGATCCAATAAATTTATGTCAACCGGTTGACAAATTAGCTATCAGAATCTAGACAAGTTGACCATTAAATTCTCTGCTAAAAATGGCAGAACTGCTGGGTATCTATATAATTGCAACGCCAAATGCAGGCAGCATTTATATGACGGTGATGAAGCTGCCACATAAAACAAATGCAAGTACCTTTTTATTGACTAACTTATTCAACCTGCTTAGGTTGTAGATGCAGCAAAGAAGAGGCCAGACATGCTAGTCCAGGTCGGACTGGAGTACCGGTACATGCCTCCAGTTGCGAAGCTGATCGAGATCGTCAAAGGTGGATCTCTAGGGCATGTGAAAATGGTGGCAATCAGGGAGCACCGGTTCCCATTTCTTGTCAAGGTGAAAGATGATGAAAGCTGAAGGCTCTACTTAATAGTCAATTTCCTTTTTCCATGTCTAGCCTCGTTGTGCTGAAGTTGATGAGTTCTTCTTCCTCTGGATGCTTGCTACTGCCTACTAGGTTCATAACTGGAACAGGTTCAATGCCAACACAGGGGGAACTCTGGTGGAGAAGTGCTGCCACTTCTTTGATCTCATGAGGCTGTTTGCTGGAGCAAATCCTGTTCGGGTGATGGCTTCTGGAGGTATAGATGTTAACCACAAGGATGAAATCTATGATGGGAAGGTAAGTTACTACCAGCCGAAATGACTGGCCAAACCTGTGTTCAAAGTAAATGAGGGGATTAGAGCAGAGTAACTTAGGTTTGATGTTAGAGCTCTGCATTTCTTGCATCTGAAGTAATTGTATATTTACAAGTTCCTTGTGTTGGTGCAGGTACCTGATATTATCGACAATGCCTTCGTGATTGTCGAGTTTGATAACGGGTCCAGAGGGATGCTTGACCTTTGCATGTTTGCTGAAGGGAGCAAGAATGAGCAAGAAATATCTGTTGTTGGAGACATTGGAAAGGTACACCTTTACTTGGCTGCCAAGTTATAGTACACATGCAACTTTCTGGCGTCTCTTTCTTCACTTGGGTTCTGTTCTGATCATGAAATTGCAACAGGGAGAGGCTTTCGTACCTGAGAGCATAGTGCGGTTGGGTGCAAGATTTGCTGGTAGAGCTGGCGTAAAGACCCTGAGAGCTGAGGATGAGAGAATAAAGTGAGCCATGCGGACATGATATTTTAGAGCAATGAAACTCTACCTGGAGAATTCTTGACTCCAATAATTTATCTGATTCATGATTGACTTGTTTTTGCAGATACGATGGCTTGCATCATGGATCAAGCTACTTGGAACACCTCAACTTTTTGGCTGCAATAAGAGCTGAAGGTGACAAAGTTCCAGCTGTGGATTTGAAAGATGGTTTGATATCAGTAGCTATTGGAGTTGCAGCACAGCTTTCCATTGAGGAGGGCCGATTTGTTAGAATAGATGAAGTCACGGATGGAACTTTCTGCAGAACATATACATGAGCTTCCCCTCTCCTCGTCAAATATTTGACTATAGGAATGCTGTAATTGCCATATAAAAGACTGGTGAAGTTTCAAACAACTAGTTCTGCCTTCTTCATGCGTCAATCTTCACTTCTCTGCTGCTGTGGTCCTGCACTGATTCATTCAGCTTCGATGCACCCAGGGGCGGAGCTACATTGTAGCTAGGGTGGGCCCCGGCCCCCCCGGGATTGATCCCGGCCCCTAGGTTCTTAAGGATATTTCGTACAAATTTTAGAAGTAGAACATGTTCTGTAAATTATGTCATCAAGTAGTTATGTGGCCTAATGGTAGTGAAGCTTAACTTGTGTATTATAGCACACGGGTTCGATTCACATTGGTTACATAAATTTTTTTAATTATTTTTGGCCCCCCCGGTTTCAAAATCCTGGCTCCGCCCCTGGATGCACCTGTCGAATCTTGGTAGGAAGCATGAATTTCTAATACTGCTGAATAAATGGCCAATTGTGGACCTTCAGACTCAGTGCCAAGGTCATACGTCAGAAAATGAATGCATCGCCATTTGTCTAAGGATCACTGCCAGTTAATGAGCGACAATATAGCGCTACATAGCTAGCAGTGTTTATGAAAAAATTATTGGAACGACATTTCCCATCGAAGGAAGCTGTTATTGTCTTCGAGAGAATCAATATACTACCAATGGTCTTCAATGGTGAGAATGTAGCAAATATCCCGGGAACACTACCAATAGTCTCCACAACTACACGACCCATCTCGGAACAAATGAAATCGATTAGCATCTCTAACTAATATTTCTCTCTTCATAAGCTTCGACGTGAACTTGGTCCAAGTGTGACAATCCCTACAAACACGAAGGTTCTTCATTACTTGTAAGGGGGTCCCTGGATCTGTCTTCAACAATCCAAAAGCTATAGCAAGCCTCTCACTGTGCCCACAAAGCCAGTCTCTCTTTTCATCCTCCTCAATGTCATGCAAAGCATATTGTACATTAGCAGCATAACCTTCCTTCGACATCAAAGCAGCAAGCTCGTCTAAAAAGTTCCTAATCTCTTGGTAATGTTCAGAGAACTTCTCCGCAGACCCAAATGCAAAAACTTTGTTTCCCATCTCAATCCAACTCCGCCCGGGTTCTTTCTTCAGTCCTCGAGCTACTATGGATTTTCGGATGCTTTTTACCTGATCCCACTTACCTAAAGCAGCAAAAACATTGGATGCTAGAACATAATAACCAGGGTCATCCAATTCTAGTTCCATAATATGCTGAGATACACGTTCAGCAATCTTTGTTTCTCCACATGCTCGGCAGGCGCTAAGTAAAGCTCCCCATATGCTTGCATCTGGCTTCAAAGGCATAGAACCGATGAATTTTTCAGCTTTAGATAACTGCCCAGATCGAGAGAGAAGATCAACTACACAAGCATAATGTTCAATTCTCGGCTCAATCCCATAATCCCTTTTCATTTGGTAAAAACAATCGAGACCCTCATCCACCAAACCTGAATGGCTGCATGCATAGAGGATGGCCACAAAGGCAATTCGATCAGGAGCCACTCTAGCTGCTTTCATTTCATCAAAAGCTCTCAATGCTTTCATCCCTTCACCATGCATTCCATAAGCTGAGATCAATGACGTCCAGGTCACAACATCTTTTGCTTTCATATGCTGAAAAACTTTAATTGCGTACTTTAGATTACCACACTTGGAGTACATTTCAATCAGTGCGTTCCCAATTGGAACGTTTGATTCAAATCCTAACTTCAAAGTGGAGGCGTGAATTTCTTTGCCTTGCCGTTTGGCAGCTAGCAAGGAACATATTGGCAACACACCTAACATTGTCGTTGGATCTGGCATTATATTGTCACTCACCATCTGGTTTATCATCCTGAATCCTAAGCTAGAGTCTTCTCCTTGCCCACATGCTACAATGATGGTGTTCCAGGATACCACATTCCGATCTCTGATGCTCCTGAAAAGCTCGAGTGAATCATTCATTCTCCAACATTTGGCATAGAAATCAAGTAATGCATTCTGAACAACCAGATCCAAGTCAAATCCTAATTTAGCCACAGCACAGTGGACTTGCTTCCCGAGGTCCAATTCTGCTGCTTTAGCAGATATTGACAAGATCAGTATACAAGTAACAGAATCAGGCTTCAGTTCCTTCACCATCGCCTTGAAGACTTCCATCCCTTCGCCATAACTGCTATTCTGAATGTAAGCACTGATCATAGAGTTCCATGAAACAGAATCTTTACATCCCATTGCATCAAACACTCCCCTTGATGCTGAAATATCACCACATTTTGCATAGGTATCAATAAGTATGTTATTAGCAGTGACATCACGTTCGATACCATTGTCCATCATATAATTATGGACGAATTTTGCAAATTCCAAGTCCTTTAATTGACCACATGCACGGAGAACGCTAGTGATTGTCAATAAATCTGGTCTGAACATACGAACCATCTCCACGAAGAACTTGACCGACTCTTCAAACAACTGCATTTCAGAATAACCACAAATCAAGATGTTCCAACTAACAGTATCCCTTGTGACCATTTCATCAAAGATCCTTTGCGCAACCACCAATTGATCGAACTTAAAATACATAGAAAGAAGCCCATTGTTCACTATAACGTCAGCATTCATACCCATCTTCTCAACGAACCCATGGATCACCTCGCCCTCAACGTCAAGCAAGCATCCACAGGCAGGCAGAACACTTGATACAGTAAAAGAATCTGATTTCAAACCCACCATTTTAAAATCACGATAAATCTCCAAAGCCTCCTCCCAGTGCCCATTTGCACTATACCCAGAAATCAAGCTGTTCCACGACACAAGATCTCTGCGAGGCATTTCCTCAAACACATTCCGGGCCTTTGCCAGATCGCCAAACCTGGCATACATATCCACCAAAGCGTTTCCAATATATAAATCAGACCCGAAACCCATCTCCACTGCCCGATCATGGACAACCCTACCCGTTTCAGAATCCAACAACGCCGCACAAGCATTGATAACAGACGGGAAAGTATAAGAATCAGGCCTGACCTCAAGCTCTTGCATGCGGGAGTAAAGCTCGAGAGCTTCAGTGGGCAACCCATTCTGGGTGAGCGCTCTGATAACTGAATTCCATTGATAGGCACTGGTCGCCGGCGTGGCTACTCGGAATACATGAAAGGAAGAAACCGGGTCCTTCAGCTGCCCATATTTGCTCGTCAGCTTCCCGGAAAAGAAGACGGACTTCTCAAGGCCTAATGTAATCAGACGCGAATGGATTTTCCGTAGCTGCTTCTGGCTCGCTGCCGTTGACAGCGCTCTAGCGATTGCCAGATATACAAATTCTCCAGAGCGCTCTCGCAGCTTGCTCATTCTTTTTTCAAGCGGACTTTTTTATTTTTCCCTCGTGACCCCGCTAAATTTTGAAAATGTGAGCGCAGCTTAGCAGCAATATGCATCCGGCGTAAAATAGTGTAGGTGATTCCGTGCTATAAAAAGGAAGCGAGTTGGCGAGGCCGAAAATCGGAGTGTCGCAGTTTCTCTTCTCCATGGTGAATTGTTTCTCTTTCGTAAGCGTTGGAGAGAAATCAAGGTTGTCAAACCGGTTTATGCTTTCATTCCATATTATTTTAAATCCATGTACGAAGAAATGACTCGTGATAGAGTCACTTTAACCTTACTAGAAAAAGAATTCATAGAACAACCTGGCTACCTTACGGAGCAAACAAATGATCCTCAAATCACACTGCCTGTATGAACAAACAAACTTTGCACAATCAGCTTACGTAGAAAAGATTCTTCTCTTTATATATTTGGTCTGCTCAGTTCCCATGGATTTGGTTGGTTGCTACACGAACGGGGCAATTTGAAGCGTTTGGTCCAGAGCACGAATACATAAGTCCTTTGGTCTTTTTATCAGAACAGGCTCTGTTTTTTCTGGATCACAGTTTGATCCTCAAGCTATTTATTTCTCTGTCTATAATATGGAATGGTTCAACCGGTGACACATACCGGTTTGTGTCGGTTCATGCCGGTCAATATTACAAATAAAATTATAAATACTCATATTTAAACATGACATTTTACGTCAATACCTAAACATTTATACTTGAATCCAACAAATAACATCAATATTTAACTTTTATACTCATAAAATAAATAATAAAATAATTTTTATCAATTAAATTCTCTAAAATAATGTCATTTTACTTAGAGATTCGTATATCGATCATGACGGTCATACCGGTGGTGTCACGCCGGTTTTATGACCGGTACCGGTTGAACCCGGTACAACCGGTGGCACGCCGGCCGGCGTGACAACCATGAGAGAAATGGAAGACGACTGAGAGGGATCCAGCAATCGTGATCGGCCTCGTCGAGAACATCTCAACATAGCCGAAGAGGTAGGGTACATTACTAAAAATCTCCACGTTTAATCATTAAAATTTTTTAATTTCATTTGTGGTCACTTAAATTAATTTAATATGTTAAATTTAGTCACTATTCGTTCAATTTCGTTAACTTTTCCTTACGTGACAGTAAACTCTAAGAGTTTATTGTTAAATGTATGACATGACAATTAAAAAATAATAAAATAAATTTATTTTTATCAAAACCGCACAGCTCAATTAGTACGATATTGTCCGCTTTGGGCCAAATCCGCACGGTTTTACTCTTGGGTATCCTCCCCAAAAGGCCTCGTACTAATTGGGCTAGGTGGACACTAATATACAAGGGTTTCTTCCCTTGTAGTTCCGATGTGGTACTTGGATTGTCCCATAACAATCCTCCCCTCAAGCCAAGGACCACGAACTTTGTGTCCTCACCTCAGCGATTATCTTGATCTGCCAGACACCTTGTATCGATGTGCTTCTCGTTAAAAGGATTTTCCCAGACGTGGAACTTTCTTTGATCCGCCAAACAGACATAGATCTCTCATGGATCCACCAAACAGCCTAGACGCAGAACTCTCTTTGATCTGCCAAACAGACGCGGATCGTAAATCTCGAGGCCACCAAACGAGGGTCCAATTAACTAACGTCCACCGCCCCGCACCGAACCAGACTCTAATACCACTTATCAAAACTGGACAGCTCAATTAGTACGATATTGTCTGCTTTGGGCCAAGCCCGCACGGTTTTACACTTGGGTATCCTCCCCAAAAGGCCTCGTACTGATTGGGCTAGGTGGACACTAATATACAAGGGTTCCTTCCCTTGTAGTTCGGATGTGGTACTTGGATTGTCCCATAACAATTTTATTTTTAAAAAAATTCACCTCATTTCTTAACTAACCGAGAAGAGTCCAAATCCACCGCAACTTGGCGACGGTGGCTTCTTCCACGGTTGTGATCGTCGTCGGGTCAGCCGTACTCTACTTCATACTCATCTACGGCGTCGCCCACCTCTCTTTCAAACTCTCTCCCATCTTCGCTGATCCCTTTGCACGGTACTCGGACCAAATCGCCTTGTCGAGCCCCATTTTCCCGGAATGGGTCTCTCCGACGAGCTCCCTCTCGGACGTGGCAACCTCACCAACGTTCATACAAATGCAACTCATGGTCACTCTCATGGCTATGCTTTTTGCTGCTTCCCAGGATTCCCCTGCCTCCTCTAATCTTCTCAGGCATAGAGTTGTTTCCCAGGTACTATACTTCTACTTACAAGTACAACCCATTTAAAAAAGAAATCAAATTTCGCTTCCTTTTTTCTTCTAGTGATATAATAGCAATTAATTGAACGAGTTACCCTAACGACCAAAACTGAAATAATTAATGCTCGTCAGAAGTTGCTTCTTTCGTCTCGCGTAATTTTAGAGCAGAGACTCTGTTTCAGGCCTTTCTGTTTTTTCTCCTGCAAATTTCATATGCCACTACCTAGGGGTGGCAGTCGGTCGGTTTCGGTTTAACCAAAAACCAAAAACCCAGTTATTGGTTAAACCGAGCCATCCCCTCTAGCTACCGACCATCGACCGTGAGATTGGTCACGGTTAGCCGGCCAACCGACCGGTCGGTTTCGGTTTTAGGGTCGGTTAGCCGACCAACCGGAAAACAACCTTTTCTAAAAAAAAAAATTTAAAAAAAAAATTTATGCACCACTCACTCCTAACCCCATCTCACTTCTCGATTCTTCTTTCCTTTCCACTTTCTAGAGAAATCCGCCTCTCTCCCTACTCTCTCTCTCTTCTTCTTCCTTTCCAGAGAAACCCGCATCCTCCCTACTCTCTCTCTCTTCTTCTTCTTCCTTTCCAGAGGAACTCGGCCTCTCTCTCTCTCTCTCCCTCTCTCTGCTCTTTCTCGCTCTCCCTCGTCTTACCCAGAAGCGGCGGCGATGGATGAGGCGGCGGCGGCGATGGATGAAGCTGCGGCGGCGGCGACGGATGAAACTGGCGGTGATTACGATGACGAATGGTAGGCGACGGTAGAAGAAGGTGAGATCAAGTTCTCTCACTTGCATGTCGAATTTTGAGGGTTTGATTTTGGTTTTTGTTTTTGATCTGTGTTATTTCTTTTGGGTTTTGTTCGCGGGTGAGAGGAGAAGAAGAGGTCACCGCCGGCGAAGCTGCTGCTGCCTGCTGGTGGGTGGAGGCTGCGCGAGAAGGAAGAGGCTGCAAGGAGTGGTGGATTCCGCTGGGGAGTCGTAGGTTGTGGAGAAGAGGATGGCGGCGTCTTCGGTGGCGGCGGCGGAAACAAGAATCGGCTGCGAGTGTAGATCTGCTGCTTCTTCTTTTTTTTTGGTCGAGATCTGCTGCTTCTTCTTCTACTTCTTCCTGTATTTGGGATTTTTTTTTTATTTAAGATTTGGGAATGGGATGAATCTGGACATATTTTAGGGAAGGTGAAGTGGGTCTCGGTTGGCCCGGTTAGTCGGATAACCGCGGTTAATCACCGTCGGTTACTCGGTCAACCGACCCCTTCCTTTTCCCATCCGACCACCGACCGTCAAGGAAACCGGTCGGTTTTCGGTTAAAACCGGCGGTTACCCGCTAACCGCAAACCAAAATGCCAGCCCTACCACTACCCGACCAATGTTTTTAGTGTTTCTCAAGGTTCGGATTTTCTGAATATTGTTCTTTTTTTGGATTTGTGCTGAACTAGGTTCTGGAACTGGGGATTGTGGTTCACTCCATGATAATTGGGATATCGGTGGGTGCTTCGGGGAGCACGAAAACAATCAAGCCGCTGGTGGCGGCGCTGACATTCCCCCAGTTCTTTGGAGGGCTCGACCTCGCGGTGTGCCTGTCGTAGACGAGCTTCAAACTGCGAGTGGTGCAGACGATGGTGGCAATCTTCTCCTTCACGATGTCGATCGTGATCGCGACGGGGATATGCATCACGTATTTACAGCGAGAACAACCAGACGACCCTTGCGGAGTGTGGTGGGCGGGCTGATGAACTCTGTCTGAGCTGGGATTTTGATATACATGGTCCTAGTACGATTTCGGCAGCCCCAGATTGCTGGGCAACATGCGGCTGCAGCTCTGAGGGTTCGTCTCGCATCTTCTAGGTATGGGTCTCGCCGACGAGCTCTCTCTCGAACTTGGCAACCTAACCCAGCTCACGTCCACGTTCATATAGACCGAGGTGGAAAATTTTCAAAATTAAATTTTATTTATTTTTATTATTTTTAATTACCATGTCAAATATTTAACGGTCAATTTTTAGGGAATTCCTACAATACCTTGAAGTAAGGTAACTTGATTTTTTTTACCTGCTATAACAGGTTTCACAGGTTGCATTACGTAAAACACAATAGACATTACGTAATGCTTATGTAACGTATGTGTATCTTACGTAACAGTTGTAAAATTTCATTACGGAAGCCTTCCGTAATGGAAGGTTCTTTTAGGTAATGAGTATTTACCTCGCGTTACGTAAAGTGATAAGTCATTACGAAAGTCTTACGTAATGCTTCTAATTTAACTGTTACGTAAGAAATAACTATCATTACGGAAACCTTAAATAATGAAAGGTCCTTTTACGTAATGAAATTAACTGTATGTTACGTAAAGTGTTAAGGCATTACAAAAGTCTTATGTAACGCTTATGATTTAACTGTTATGTAAGAAACAACTATCATTACGGAAGCCTTACGTAATGGATGTGTATTTTACGTAACAGTTCTAAAATGTCATTACGAAAGCCTTACGTAATTGAGACTTCTTTTACGTAATGAATATTAATCTTACGTTACGTAAAGTGTGAAGTCATTATGGAAGTCTTACGTAACGCTTCGGATTTAACTGTTACGTAAGAAACAACTTCATTACGGAAGCCTTACGTAAATTTTTTTTTTTTTGAAAGAAAGCCTTACGTAATTGATGTGCAGTTTACATAACAGTTGTAAAATTTCATTACGGAAGCCTTACGTAACAGATGCTTCTTTTACGTAATGAATATTAACATTGTGTTATGTAAACTGTAAAGTCATTACGGAAGCCTTACGTAACACTTCTTATGTAACTTTTACGTAAGAAACAATTGTCATTACGGAAGCCTTAAGTAATGAATGATTATTTTACGTAATGAAATAAATGAATATTAACGCCACATTATATAAATTGTTAAATCGTTAAGAAAGCCTTACGACGTAACACTTGCGATATTATTACTTAAGAAATAATTTTTTTCTGTTACTTTTATGTGATGGGTATGTATTTTACATAATCGTTGTAATATTTCAAAAAATATTTTAAATGAAAAATATTAGTCATGATGTTTGTTTATTTTTAGTAAATAATTGGTAGCACATGAAATGGCACCAAACGTTCAAACCTTTCACTAATTTATAATTTAAAATAGGGTTAATATTTTCGTATGGCATGAACTTTGACAAAAAAAAAATATCCTGGCCAATCTTTTCGATCTATAACATCCTGGCCCGAATAATACACCAAAATAAACAATTTGGCCAAACCCGATGTTTGACCGTTAACTTGGACGGTCAAACGCGTTGACTAACGATCAACTCGCCACGTCACTGCCAAGTCAGAAGATCTGATAAATATTTAATTTTTTTCGTTTTTTATTTTTGGTTTAACTAAGGTATTAGGTGATTTTTTTAATTTATAATAATTTAAAATTAGGGAATGTGTGAAAATTGTGAATTATTTTAAATATTTTATGTTGACTTGGCAGTGACATGGCGCGTTGACTAACAGTCAACGCGTTTGACCGTCCAAGTTAACGGTCAAAAGTCGGATCTGGCCAAATTGTTTATTTTGGTGTATAGTTCGGGCCAGGATGTTATAGATCAAAAAGATTGGTCATGATGTTTATTTTGGTCAAAGTTCGGGCCATACGAAAATATTAACCCTTTAAAATATTATACAATTTTGTTGGTAAAATTATTTAAAAATATTCAAATTAAATGGCAAAGAATGTTGTTTCAGCATTTAGAAAAAAAACTTCAAAATTCTCACAGAAAAAAACTACAAAAAGAAAAGTAAAAGCCTTCCATTGACAGCTATGGTAATAACTTTAATGCTAGTAATGAGTATTCCTTACCAATCCGGTAAATGTTCAAAACTAAAAACAACTTTCCACAAAAGAAATACATTCCATAAAATAAACTGGATGGGCAGCTAGCGCCGGTTGTCAGTATTTTTTGGACGTTTTTTATTTTTTAATCAATGGTCCAAAATGTATTTAATTATTTTTAATGGTTTAGATCTATACAAGTTACCTAACTTGAAATTATACTCAAGTTACTGTAGGAGGTCCCCAATTTTAATAGTTGATTGTCACTTAAGCAAAAGTTAACGGAGTTGGACGGAGAGTGACGAAACTTGAAGTATTTAATTTATTTAAGTGACCACGAATCAAATTAAATATATATAGTGAGCAAATATAAACGTTTTTAGTAATATATGTAACCAACCTTATAATTTACTCCGAAGAGGTACTTAACTTCCTGTTTGTTTGCTGCGAAAATCTCTGGAGGGAAATGAAAAGAAAACTGCCCACTAGTTCATTTTCAATCCTTCTCTTTTTCAACGATGGAAATGGCTTACTTAGTTTGAGAAATTATCTTAGGTGTCTTATGGTTTTGGTATTTTTTTAGGTTTAATACACTTGTATATCCAAAACTTTCACGGTTGTGCCAATAATATCCAAATTTCTCGGAATACCACTCATATCCATGTTTTAAAGTTGTTCTTTGCCAAATCTATCCATTTTCCAATATATCTAGATCTACACAATAAATAAAAGCCAAATGAGAAAATTTGAAGCCTCATTTCAAATTTCCTCCATCGAGAGTGAAAGTAGGAAGGACATTTTGGTCTTCACAATTACTTTTTTTTATTCATTAAAAAGACACTTACTAGGATTCGAACCATGACCACTTTAAAGAAAAGCAAAGATCATAACCAATCACACTAAGTATATTTGTTGTATCTTTTTAAATTAAAAACATATAATCGCAGAGGAAAAAACTCTTCCCCCATTTCAAATTCCCTGCTCCATGAGCGTTTGTAGGAAGGGTAGAATATGGAGTGTCAATTTTTTTCTTTTTCCTCTGTGGAACGGGCCAACTTACCGTACACATGCGGATTTAAGCGGGTCCAGGAGTGTCAATTTTTTTTAAGTCATTTTATTTCTCCGTGGTGGTAAAATATATATGAAAAGGAAAAAACAATACTCATTTTTATTGCTAAAAAGAAAAAAATTAACAATAAACTAATGCATAGATTCTAATGGGCTAACCGCTAATCATAAAATAAAAGAGTTGAATGGGTCTGACCTACACGGGAGTTTCCCATCAAGTAAAACAAATGAACATCATGGGTTTGTCATTCTAAAACAAGCTATTTTCTCTAGCATAATATATATTATGCTATTATTTTATATCTTAGTGGCTAAAATATAATGTATTTTAAAGTTATTCAATGGTTCAACCTCGACCAATCCAATTAGTCCAATTTTTATCATTTCAAATATATATTATGTAATTATTTGATATCATAATGATTAAATTATAGTGTATATTATAGGGAATCGTTTGGTATTTGTTAGTAAAAAACTAAACAGAAAGATCTATTTGGTTATTTTTAACATTAAAACGATCTTAAACATTTTCAGTTTCCTTTCGAAATTCTTTAGTTTTATTCCCGAATCAGTGATGTGCAAATGGCGAATTGCAGTCATCTCTTTTCTTTCATTATTTTTTATTTTCAAATAAAAGTTTAAAAGTAAAGAATAATTAGAGTTTGGCATGGGTCGGTCAAACATGCTGAATTTCAAGTTTTGGCCCGTTTTGATCAAGTCTAATTTATAATCACATGGTTTCCTGATACCCGATAAAAATCTCAATCCAAACCAGTTTGGCAGGTGAGTCCGTGTTTACCACCATTTTCTAGGGATACACGAACGGTGGTTCATATCCCAAATCGTGCTGTTCATTCTTGATTTCTTTAGATTTTATCATTGCTTGGCAAAAAACCAGAAAACACAATGATGACAAGATGAAAGTTTTATAAAGCAAATTAATCGCCCAACGGGTCAAGTAAAAGCTAGCAACGATTGTGAGATGCTCATTTCCCGAAAACCGTCGGGATAGGCGATTTTTTATTCGATTTTCTGGAATTCGGTTTCTATAAAACTTACTCCACCTCATCATATTACCAGAAACAATATTGTTTCACAAGGTAATAGGTACTTGATTTTGGTCTATAAGACTGATTTTTGATTCGTTGCATCATTCATGTCTCTTTCCTACTAAAATTCACTATTTTTATCACGTGTTTCCAAAAAAAAAAATACATCAATAAGTTATACACCCCATTACATTATCAAATTTCATACCTCATCTTTCTCCGGCCAAATGGCCGGGGCCCACGCTAGTAATAAATAAAAGCCGAATGATGAAAACTGTTGCTCCATTTCAAATTTCCTGCAACGAGAGTGATTATAGGAAGGACATTTTGGTCTTCACAATTGCTTATTTTCTTATTTATTTATTCATAAAAAAGGCATGCACTGGGATTTGAACCTTGGTCTCTTTAAAGGCAAACAAGAATCATAACCAATCACACTAAGTATATTTATTGTATATATTTAAATTCAAACATACACGAACCTAAATTATGAAAATCATATGACTTTTTTAACGATTAGTTGGCCACTGAATCTCCCGTAAGTACTTATTTGGTGTTTTAATACTTTGATTATTTTAGTTGTACTTTAATACTTAATTTAATTTTCTATCTATTTTATAAATATACAATAACCCTAAAATTGCAGCCCAA